AGACGTTTGCTTTTTGTGAATAACTTTGTTTAAAGCTACGCCGGTGTTGCTGTTACGAAGACAGCGACACGCCAATTTGCACCTTGCTGCTAATAAATAAAGCACATTTGATCTAAACCTTGCTCGAACCTAAGCAGCGTTTTGACGGACCGCCCGTTAAGGAAATTGGTAATTATGTAGCTTGTTGTGTGACTTAAAGTATTTCTTCTAATTAAGCTTAGTTTATTACTAAAAGACACTTCAAATATTCTTATGCCTTCCTGTGAGCTGAGTTTTTTTTTTTTTTTTTTTTTTTTTTATTTCTTTAATCCGAAGACCCAGCTAGTAGATATATGTATATAGTAGCTATAGACACTGTGGATTTCAAAATAAATCAGTTTTTTACTTTCTATGCATGAATCAAATTTTCTTCTTTCTTTGGAAAAACTAAATTTTTCATTTCGCTTGATTCGTTCTCGAAAAATATAACTCAACTTCATCATCGCCTCTTGTCATAGTTATTACTTACACACAATATTTAAATCGGATCTGCAGAAACTAAATGATTTTTGGAGATGATCTGATTTACTAAAACAGGCTGATAATTTTTGAGCTAATGTAAAAAACCTTTAGTGAAGCCCATATCAGCTTTCACACATTTTTACCCCACAATTCACCTCAAAAATTTCTTAATATCCCATATCCCATAAGTATTTCTAAACATTTTAACACGTAGGAACATCTTATACACGACCATATTAGCATATTACTGCAATGTTGACACAGCTTTCCACAATATTCAACCCCATCGATTATACATTACAAAGACAAGATTCTCACGTTAAATAATGCCTAAGCAGCGTTCTCACGGCTCCAGTAAAATCCATGAATACATTACCGTTTAAGAAAAAAGCTTTTTTATCTGTATAATTCAAATCTTTATTCTTAGCCGGCGATACTGGCCGTAAAGAAAAGACGTCGCTCGATTTGAATAAAAAAGTAAAAGGGTTAGGCATTCTTCCAAGTGTCAAAATTGCTCTTCCGTGTCGTGTTATAGAAAAATGGTCGCTCATTTGAATATCGAACGTGAATGCGGAATATCTATTTTGCATCTCTGTGTCATATCCAAAGAGTTTATAGGGCACACGAATTTAACTTTTTCAACATCGTAATAAAGTCGAGTTTTGTATGAAAAGTGTTCGGTTGTTTTCGTTGGTATACGTAATGAGATTAAATATTTTCCTTGCAACGTCATATTTGTAAAGTAGGATCGTCTAATGTAATCGAACCGTTGTGTGCAAGTGATAGATGAGAATGGGAGAATTTCGTTCCCACGTATTCAGAATTTGAATTTATTGACGCCAGTTATTTAGATTAGAAATGTACCCGAGAGAAGATAACTTACAATTTACGCGTTTAAACAAAATATATTGGATAGTTTTAAATTAGAAAAGGTGATAAATTTATACCACTATTTCTTATCTGTGACATTTAAAAATACATTACATTTATACGTCCTACTTCATGTCTAAATATTATTTATAGAGGTCGAGACTATGTGTTAATAGTCTGTATTGGAAAAACAAGATTAATTTATCTTATTACAATAACAAAGAGCATGAAACTCATAGCTGGCTTATACAAATGTGTTTTTGACGTGGTACAGATAAACAATGGTAGTTTTATGATGTTGTCAGATAATAAAAATGGGTTTGAATAAATTAATAATTAAATTTTCATTCATTGACCCTGTTCAGCATTGATATCGATAATTTATATATGTTTAAAGGCAGTCGTAGTTTTAGTATTAATAAAAATACTTTTGTTTAAAAAACAAATTAAATTAGACCAACAACTGAAACATTGCCCGAATAAAAGAAATATATTTGCAATGAAAAAACAAAAGGAAAAAAACCTTTTTAGTTACAAACGTTACAATTGATTCCTTCAGATTTGACATTTCCGACCTACTTCCACCAAAACCTGGCCATTTTACAGAATAATCCAATGATAAAGGCCTAAATCTACCATATAATAAAAAAATAAGCAGTCATGGAGACTACCTACGGCAGTGCAAACTTAATAATGGAACTTATATTTTTATTTAACATGAATAATTATGATCACAAAACTCTAATTTACATCACATAATCGAATATTTTGAATTTTCGGATAATTGAATATTTGGAACTTCAAAGATTGAATCTAAGTCTCAGTTGTTATGTACTGAACGGAGATTATATTTCTTAACATGAAAACTAGCTCTCGCTATCTCGTGCCTTATTTAATGGACTATGTAAGTATCCAGTCGAAATCATTCAGAAGTTATTAAACATGTCCCGACCCAGTTCGTGCTAAAAAACTACTTCCGTAATGGTTTTAGTGAAATCATTCAGTTTCGAAAATCAAAAATATTTAGATAATACACTAAATCATGAGGTTATGATTTTATTGCACGTTCGCTAATTTCATTCGAAACTCAAAAACGCCATATTGACGTTTAAATGTAGATTCTTAAAGGTGGTATTCCCATCCTCATATTGTCATCAAACAACCAACGCGCGAATGAATGAATGGCGGGGAACGAAAAAAGGTGCGCTCATTGTTTCGACCCGCGCGATTTTGTTCTCAATTTGAATATTTCAAACGTGCGACAATAGACAAAAAAAAAAGAACCGGTACTTGTAACTGTAGAAAATTAAATATAAAAATTATGACGGTTTACCTTTTGTCTCTTAATATATGCAAATGCAGTGCGGATGTGACGCCATACGGAATTTGAGCGGCCCTGTAGAGGCGGTGTGGGCTCATTTGCATAACGCGACTAATTCCGGCCAACTATTTTGATTCCGTAGTTTTTCGTTTGTACGTGGAATTAGTAAGCATTGTCCTTTCATTACCACGTCGGGAATTCTGTACAGGTATATAAAATTGAATGATTCAAGATAATTCAAGACAATTCAAGACGACCCGAATGGCGTTGTGGGTAGTGTACCTTCCTCCTGCGCCAGAGGGTGTGGGTTCGATCCCCACTACTGGATAAATGTTGTGTGATGAACATAGTATTTTTCTAGTGTCTGGGTGTTAATATATGTATAATCTGTATTTATTTACAAAAGAAAAGTATGTTTATGTATGTTTATCAGTTTTCTAGTACCCATAGTACAAGCTTTGCTTAGTTTGGGACTATAGAATGTTGTGTAAAACTGTGTCCTAAAATATTTATTTTATTATTTATTTATTAATTAACACTTTAGTTGCAGCATCATAAGAGATTACTCTACATTGATCACTATTAGTGTCGTCATCACACGATTTAATCGTAGACTTGTTTGTAGTAAAACAGTTTCTAATTTCTAGTAGAAAGTCGTGTATAGAGTTTTGATAGACTAAAAAATTCCAATTTTTTATTTCGATATGTTGCAGACAATTATCCTTCGCCAGTTAAGTAAACATTTATAGATACAAAACAACCTTCTCCTAGAACAGTGCGGAACGATTATAATTGATATATTTATTAAATAAATACATTTTTACGTTATTCATTAAAAATATCGTGAAAAGTTCATAATTTGAACGGCCTACGAGCAAATATGAATATTCTAACGCTTGTTGAATCGGAGTGTTTAATTTATCGTGAATTTATTCGGCCGCGCGTAAAGGTGCGAACACACCGGTCCGTTGCGAATGGCGAACAAACACGAGTGCTCGGAACTAATCGACGGGTCACAATAAGATGCTAATCTTCCGACACCTTTACTGCATTTGCATAATATTTGCGTAGCGGCTCGACGCGACGTGAGAATTGGCGCCCTTTTTTGACATTCCGGGTCTGTGCGCAGCTTTAGAATACCACACGATATTCAAAACAGTTTTTAAATAGGGGAAAATTAAAAAAAAATTAAACCTATTGTCATTTGTTGTCTGTATTTTGATATAGACAAGGTGTGTAGATTTCTGATATCTAATTGTACGATAAGTGTAAGAAGGAAGCAAACGTGGACGTGGATTGAATTTTTTCAACGAGCAATAAAATTAAATCACTGGGTTATTTACTATGCAGGTAGTGTAAAGTGAAGGCGATATGAAAAATGTATTCCTTAAAGTAAACAACATATTTAACACAAAATATCCTTGATATAACCAAATCACATGTAAGGGCGTTATTAATATAAGTGAGTTATATATTATATGTGGGTTAATAGATTGATTAATTTTTAGGTTCGAACCTCAATTAACAACTAATTAATAAACAAAATTTTTCATAACTTGAAACTATCAACTAACGAAGTTTGGCGTTAGTTGATAGTGTCAGTTATATTAATATAACATCAAAAACATATCTCCTTCTGTACTTCAAATTTGACGTACATACAAAACATGTTATTTTTATTCATTGAAATTATTCATTTACATTATTTATTATAAATTATTAAGCTTAATAAAATTTACAGCATCCGTCGAATAGACGCAAACGAAAAATTCAGACGATGAACAGCTAAATTAAGAAATGATTATTTAAAAAAAATAAGGATTTATTTAAAATAAGAACGCATTGAAAGGAACAATTTAAGAAAAAAGTTGCGTTCTTATGCTGGCCGAAATCTAAATATTCCACACCACAAACAACACACATGCGTACCTATAATGCCACACAGACGTGTTCGTGTTGCGCGGATGTTTTAAAAAATCGCCCGAACCACCTGAAAGTAAGCATGTGCCGGAAAATCAATACGAAGCGTGTCGCGAACGCGTGATTCCGGCGAAAAACTACTACAAGCCCGTACCCACCCCACGCCGCGCGGATTTTTCTTCACCCCACTCTCCCCACGGGCTTAGGGGAGCGAGGGGACCGCGCAAAAAGATGCCCGCTTTTTTCTCGCTGGCGTGTTATGTTGACTAATCACTTTGCATTCGAAATCCGATCTTATGTGACTATAGCTAAAGCCCAATTTCTTTTTACGCCAGTCAAAGCATGTGAGCGATTGTCTTCGTTGGGTCACGATGCAATGTCAACCTTAAGGTCTCAACTTAAGTTTTATTTTGAAATGCCCGTCGTTATCGCAGCCGTCTAGGCAAACATGGTATATGGGAGTTTTTCGGTCTCCAGCGAAATTAGGGCCCGCGCCGCATGCCCCGATGCGTAATGACTTCTTATGATTCGATGTCATGTCGCGTGCTAGTTTCGCATCGCCCTCGCCCAACCGCCGGCGCTGGGGTTCAACGAACCCTGAGCCCGGTATTCGGTATTCGAATCTCGAAATTTCGAATTTGGAACCCATTGGAAATTCCGACACGTTTGCAGGGAGACTCGGATGTGTGGTTAACGTCTGCCGGTTGAAATTACTTCGACTTTAATATGAGGCGACCCGTAATTGAAAGAGGCCCTTTCTTTCGCGCGGGAAGCGACACGCAAAAAGTCTTTATCGAATCATATATAGCTTCGAACTGCGACTTCGCTTGCGAAGTTTTGTGCATTATAAAGGTGCATCGAATATTGATTTAGCCGAGTACGAAGATTCGGCCAAGGTGTGCCGAACCCAACTTACGGTCGAATAATTCGGTCTAACAAATTCATACAGGACGACGAGGCACTATATAGGAGGGATGATATAAATTACGTACTTTTATTTAATCAGCTTTTTTACTGTCGATTAAAGATAAAGCAGCATCGAACTTGTTATCGATGTGGCAAAAAATATTTGTTCTATTCGTGGGTGAAGTGTAGAACGTTCCTACCTTTGGCTGTTTGCCTTTGGATCGTTGAATCAGTCGGATTGCTTTGCAGAACAGTTTAAAGCTGTCTTCACTTCACAACATGGTATAAAACAAAGTCGTCCCGCTGTCTGTCTGTCCCTATGTATGCTTAGATCTTTAAAACTACGCAACGGATCTTGATGCGGTTGTTGTTACTAGACAGAGTGATTCAAGAGGAAGGTTTATATGTATAATATTGCATTCGCGCGAAGCCGGAACGGGTCGCTAGTCTGGAACAAGAAGAATAAATTATTCTAAATTGATACGTTCGTTTTAGGACGATCATGTTTTATTGAAGGGTTTTGAATATGTTATTTAGACATTCAAAATATATAATAAAAAGGTTGATATAAATAGGTATCGATACTTTAATACCATTTAAAGGGTAAGTATGTAAACTACTCTTGATAGTATCTGAATTCCTATAGATACTTTTCAGAGATGTTTTATGTTCATTTGATTGAACAAAGTATGCGACGTTATGACTTCATGATTTGTAAAACTTCACGATTTCAAATAGTGGTAAATTTTTTGAAATAATGTTTATCTCAATTTTTTGATTTGAATTAGTAATTATTACGTACTGACAGTACGTAATAATTACTTATTACTGTTTATTTATTTCTGTTTATTATATTATTATTGTTTATTTATTGAATGATATTATATTTTATTTAGAGGAATATGTCGTTTGACTTGATAAGAATTTATAGCTAATAAAGGTAGTTAAGTGTTTGTTTAATTTTTATAAAGGTACGTAATTAGGTATTAAAATAAATTTTCTTCGAATTTTCGCAAAATTATCGAATATTCGGTCGAATACGAAAGTAAAAATGGTACGCCGAATACGAATACTCGTCCGAACATTCGGCGCATCTCTAATGCGTAATAAAATAAGTTGATTCATAAATACATAGTGGTCTATTCTAACTTTCTTTATCAAACCGTTATGCCCTTGAGAGGCAGGTTGAAACACACTTACAAAAAAACTTTTGTAATTATATACATATTTAATTCCAATCCGTTCATCCTTTGCGAGGTCGAAGAAGAAACAAAACTTATCCGAACATTTCACAAAAGTTTTAAAATTGGTACTGGGGCGCAGTGACCGCTGATGTCAACTGTGGTCACGGGTTCGAAATCTCCACCAACGGACATATTTCAGATGTGACACGGGCTGAGGTAACTGGGACCCCAGTTGAATAAGCACATATAATTGAAGGAGTGAGTAAGTTTGATGACTCCGCGGCGCAGTGGCCAAGGTATTGGCTTCGGCGTCGGGGGTCGTGGGTTCGATTCCCACACGGGACAACTATTTGTGTGACCCACAGATAGTTGTTTCGCATCTGGGTGTTTGGCCGCGTGAAATTTATGTTTGTACAACGTCCTTTACAACACAGGATAATATTATCCTAAAGTAAGGGCAGTGTTTTTTAAAAAAGAAAAAAAAAATGTATCGGCGAGTATTAGGACATGTATTACGTAACAATATTTGCATATATGTTTCTAACCACCACCGACATACCCATTTATAAAACGCGTTTATTTCTTAGCACTTCGTGAAATATGCCTAAGTTTTTAACTATAGAAAGCTTACGTATATAAAAACAAAGTTATTTACTGACACTTTGTACGTAGTAAAATATTGCGTGATGAACATAGTGTTTTTCTAATAGTTATGTGTGTTTATATATGTTTAATATGTATTTATTTTATAAAAGATAAATATACTTGAACATACTTTATGTTTAAGTATGTTTGTCAGTTATCTAGTACCCATATTACAAGCGTTGCTTAGTTTGGGACTAGAGAACTTTGTGTAAAAATATGTCCTAAAATATTTATTCAGTAACTTCTGCTTACCACGAATGAACATGGCCTTGTGTGAAGGTACCACGACCAGAAAAATGATTGAGCTTGTATTGAGCTTATTTAGAAACGTTTCGCTTTATCATCGAAATTTGTTACAGTACTTTTTAAATAATGTTAATTTATAATACTCTGTACTTGAGATTAAATTTTAAATTTGTAAAAAAAATGGACCAGTAGTTTTCCGCCGGTGGGCGGATTAGAACATGTGACCTTACGCGCGAGAAGCTTTAGCCACTGAGCTAAACGGCATATCTTCCCACCGATGAAAATTTCAACGTAGTTATCTACTTTTTTTATGTGACAAAGTAGCAAACGACCGGTTCACCTGATGATAAGTGATAACCGTAGGTTTTCATATGCGTTGCCGCCTTTCAATAAAGAGAGCCTCGGCTACCTCACTCACCAGATGAAACGCAGAAGTGTAACACTTCTACTTTAGGCCGGTCTTCAGTGAGGTCGTGGTACTAACCCGGACGGACCCGCCCATTGGTGCAACGGCGAACACTGTTGCGTGGCCCTGCCACAGATACTTTTTCTTTTTATTACATTTATAAGCGACGCTCGGCGGCATCTGGTGTTTACGGCCGAGTGTTGGCCAGCTCGAGAAAAGTAAGAGGCGAACAACTCAGACTCTCGATCTTTCTCGATCCTCGGACCAATTACGCCCATTCGGAGGAGCAATAAAACGTACGGGAGCTAGACACTATCGCTTTGGAAATCTACCTAGTTACGAGTAAGCCCACAGGTCATAGGAACTAGTCGAGATCGAATGCTCGTGTGCCAATCGCCTCAGGCATGTTTTAGGGTAGTGCAAAGCGGAATAAATTACTTAGGCAGAGATGGGTAATGTTATGATTTGTGAGTTTGTACGAAACGTCCTCAACGGTGAGCTTGTGGTGGTTTTTAAATAGATAATAAAAAAAGTTAACGATATCTTCTATCTATACGAATTCGTTCGATTAAAAGGAGAACAATAACGCACAATATGAAATTTAATAAAAAACATGACGGAACAACGCAAAGCGAATTCTTACTATCGCTATCCCAAGATGGCCTCATACTTACGCCACCAAGCTTAGTTGGTAAAGCGTCTGAGCCGCGAAACTAGAGAGTTCAGGTTCGAATCCCACAGCGCCGAAAATTTTATTTTTCATTTATCTACATAAAATTACAATTTAAAGAGTATGTGCAAACATTTAAGCCTTCTAAAACCAGTGCCGTGGTATTGTCTGCCAGGGCTATATACTGAGCGGAGACCTTTTGGTCCATACATTTTTACAATTCTAATGTTATTTGATACATAATTTGTCATATTGACGGTGGAAAATATACATACAAATAAATATTCACAAATAGTTTATAGTATTTGCATGTCACGCAATACTCGCCGATGCTCCTTCAATTACTCGTGTAACTAGTTGGCACCTTTGGCGTTGCTCGCGGAATTTTCGATTTCGTGGATTCATTAAGTTTTAAATAAAGCTCTAGGATTTTCCAGCTTACCTGTCCCAGTAGCCGTGGAGTTCTCCGTAATGAGGTCTATGTCAATTTACGATCCGTAGACTATCTATATTCGTTTTTGTGACACGGTGGCAAACGTGGTTCACACGATGATAAGTGATAACCGCCGCGCGTGGAAATTTGCAACACCCGTAGGGTTGTAGATGCGTTACCACCAGACGAAACGCATAACTCACTTCCACCTCACGGCGGTCTTCTGAGATGCCGTGATACTTACGGACGGACCTGCCCATTCTTGCAACAGCGAAGATTATTGCGGGAACGTACCACTGTACTACGTTAGAGAAGGACAAACTTCCAAACCGCATTCACTGTACGGTAGGAAAGAATTATTCTATTCAAATAGACGTTTCATTATTAGCTGAAGTGAACGTCGAGATTTATAGGTTTGACATAGAAGTGACCTGTGGCTTTACTGCGTTTGTTGTTGCACAATGACACACGATTATTCTAGGCGAAAGCTTTCCGATAAATTTACGATGACACGATTCAACGTCCCATTCGAAAGCTGCGAATATTAATAACTCTACGCGTGTACACATTTCGGCTTACTAAATACCTAAGGAGTATAGTAAGTTCGAATCCTTTTTAAAACCTCTTCGCGCAGTCAGTTCGATTGTAGAAGCTGAATGGTCAACTTACTCTTTAGGTCAATGTAATGTATGTATTATTTCTATGAATCTTAGTCAATGCAATATGTTGTGTAAGTCTGACTTAAGAGATAACCATGATTCTATTCTTGAGAAGTCCTATTAGTGGATTATTTTTAATACCTAAGATTATAAAAACAATGTTTATGATATATATTGCTTGTTCCAAAGACCTAAGCATTTAAGTTCGACACATAGGGCCCCGGTTTCTGAAACACTGATCATCGTAGGTGTCAACTAATCATCTGTCAAATGGCTTTCCAAATTGCAGTTTAGTTGCCAAAAGGTTGGTTAAACTCTCTGAATTGACAAGAAAGATCTTCATAATGATCATTTCTAACAGTTTAAACATCGTTAAAGCAACTCAAATGACAATTGAAAAGCCATTTGACGGCTAATTAGTTGACATCTACGATGATCAGTGTTTCGGAAACCGGGCGATAGTGTCTCAAAAAAAATCAAAATTCAAATACAGAAGTCATGTATGCGTAAAACGCTATCGCCTATGGTCTTGCACCGCACGCAGCGCGCTTATCTACAACACTGACACACGTAAAAAGTCCACTTCATTAACGTCCGCGCACAATTCTTTGTTGTGCGTGCATTTAATTGGGCGCGCAGTGGAGCTGGCCCGGCACAGCTTTTAGCGCCGCTCGTCCAATTTACGAGGCGTTTCTTTGATTTATCGCTCGTACCTACCTGTTCCGTTGAAAAGGCATAACTCATTTTAGAGCTTTATCTTTGTCCTAGACGCTGTTTCTTTTCTCGGTTGGAAACATAATCGCTGATTTACGGCCAGTTATACTACGATTAAAATCCTATTTTCTGAGGAGCATTCTAGCTAAGCGGTGAGGAAATAGAAAGTGGTGGGAGAGATGTCTAGAGTTCTTTCTACATGGGAAGGTCTATGTTACACTTTCTTTAATTACATAATGACCACTAGTTTCTTTCACTAACGCAGACTTCCTTTTATGCGTGTTATGTGCTTGGGCTGGACTGCAGAGCGGTTACGTTATTACATCACGTAAATCAGTTTCCGGTGGACCAATGTTTACCGTCTTGTTATCTTTTAATGAAGCGATATGTTTTGGGTAAACTTAATCTCTGATGTACGGCCAGTTACACTGCAATTAAATACCTATTTTCAGATGAGCATTCCAGATAAGCGGTGAGGAAATAGAAAGTGGTGGGGAGGAGATGTCTATACTTCTTTCTGCATGGGAAGGTCTATGTTATACTTTCTTCATTTCAATAATGTCCACTTGTTTCTTTCCCTAACGAAGGCTTCCTATTCATGATGTGTGGTATCTGCCTGGGCTTGTCCGGAATGCGGTTACGTCATTGCATCACGTAAATCAGCTTCCGGTGGGTCAATGTTCTGTTCGCCGTCTCGTTATCTTTTAATGAAGCGATCTAATCTTTCGTTTGTGCAACATTTATATCACGTCCATAGACAGTATCTTTTATTTGACTTCTCGTGTTTTTTACCTTAACTGTGGTACAAATGTCGACGACATTGCTTCCTTATATAGGGAGTGCCTAATGTTGTCCGAAGGAGGCCTGTCTGGGGAAGCACCGCGACCCCACAGACAGTCTTGCTTTGAGTGGAAGTGTGAGAGGTACCAGCGCTGTAGATGTATAGAGGCAGCTGAATAATTTCATTTTTAACCGACTGTATAATAATAGTTATTTATCTAATATTTACAACATTAAATCTATCCAAAATTACATATTTTCCAATAAACCTAATCCACGCGGCATGGTGCCTAACGCTAGCTGCATCTCCTCGCTGAATAGTTGTGCAGCCAGCTCTCTTGTCACATTTTTGCATTGGTACCGGTTTAACTCCCATGTGGTCCCAATGTCATTGGTATTATACCGTGGTCTCCGGAGATATATCATCATACCTCCTCGAATACTCACAATCAAATGTAAATAAAAATGAATAATGAGTGAATTACTTGCAATTTAACTGCCAATTTGCTAGGTGCTTGACGTTGAAGGAAACCATCATGAGGATTGAAGTATGCTTATCTATAATGGTGCCGCGTGGCGCGTTATGCCCTATTACACATTGTGGGGCATCTTAACATATAATTTATTACCCGCTTTATTGAAACGTGTCAACCCTACGGGTGTCGCAAATGTCCATGGGCGGTGGTTATCACTTAACCATCAGGTCAATAACCAGCCCGCTTGCCATCTACTTACATAAAAGAAATTATGCAAAGGCCTTTATATACGATGTATATGCCCCACTGCTGGCCATATTGGCTTCTTACTTTTACATAAAAAAGTAAAGTTAGGTTTTTTACGGCCGCCTACTTTACGTCAATCCTCTTTGAGAAGTAACACGCAAATTTCGAAATAATTACATAAACTCTTCGTGTGTGGGATTAAAACCCAAGGCCCTATCACCGAAGCCAATGGTAAATTAATGTAAAGTAACAGCCTATAAATTTCCCACTGCTGGGCAAAGGCCTCCTCTGGGTATCAGGGCATAGTCCACCACGCGACCCCACTGCGGATTGTCGGACTCCACATATTTTCGGAATATTTTTTTTTATTATTATTTCGAAAATATGCAGGTTTCCTCAAGATGTTTTCGTTCACCGGCGAGCACATGATATGTCAGCACTTAAAATTAACAATTTCATTGGTGCTGGCACGGGGGATCGAACTCAGGTTGTTCGAGTAATATGAATTAAAGGCGAGCGCCCGGACACTGAGCTATCACGGCTCTTACTTACTTACTTTTACATACGTACAATTAATCTAGAAGTCAGATGCTTAACTGACTTCTATATTTTAGTTTACATTTCGATTGAGGATTCGACGTCGACCATTTTGAGAATGCCTGCTTTAAGTTCTAATCATATAATCTGAATTAAAGCCATGTATGTCCACGCGTAGATGCACATTTCTATTAAGTTAACAATTTAAACTGATGCAGGCCTGATTCTCGGCTTGTGCCGGCCTGTTAATGCTATCAGATGGCGCAGTGATTATAAACGTATTAGCGTCGCCACTCCCGGCTTCGAATCCGTACCACGTCCAGCGTTTCAATTAGACCATTGTCCGGTTGCAGCCTTAATGCGGCCCCACCGTTGCACCGGTACGGTTAGCAGATGTAACAAACAGGGAAAACTGAAACTAAAGATGTACACTAATAATTTCCTATTGTTATAACGTTTTACACGAATAATCTCTATTATTTCTCAATGGTGGTTTTTGACGAAACACCATAACTTCAATAATTCTCCAAATTCAACGATTGAAACTCAATTTATGAATTCGTGTTTGCCGCTATTGGTTGAAGGCAAGTAGAATAAATTTAATGTTTTCATGAATTTAACGCTTTCGTTTAAAAAAATCTTAGAAAATTTATGATAGGCTGTATCGTGCATTCTTTTGACTATTTCTTTTATAGAATATAGGAAATTTGAACGTTATTATAAATATTTTCACATTTAGAAAAATTCATTTTTTTAAACTTACTCGGCATTTAAAATGTTAACAGATGAACGCCGAGTTCAAATGTTAGTGTTACCTGAGCTTCCTTCATTATTCAGAAAAATACTAATATAATAACCACTCCGTGACTGGGATGTTGCACTTGAAGTAAAAGGTGATAGAGACCTGAGATAGTAGAGGTTAAATGTTTTTACCACATAATGATTCAAGGACTACAAGCTTGCTCTATTGTGTTCAAATAAAAACTCCCAAGCTAGCGATTCCCAATCGACTACAATTGTGTCAACTTGTTTTAATAATTTTCATAGAAAATTGGAATTTCAAATCACCTTGCCTATGCAAATGCCGTATTTTTTTATATTTTGTCTTCTGCCTTGATTACAATAAATGCCATTCTTTCATATACTAACACACTAACTAATATTAGAGAAATATAATAAATTTGTGTAAAAAAACCTTTTAAATTACATAAAATACCGGTGGTTTTTAAAAACACTATTCAATATTTCGGGAGTTTCTAAGCGATTCTTGATTGATCGTTTTAATATTAAATTAGTAACAGGTTGTTTCAATGACATTGAAAGTGACATTTCAAATAAAGTTCTTTACCGGTTTGTCTTTCGAATTTGTAAAGTTGTCTTCTAATTGGCAGCTAGCTTTATTTGTGTTCTGATTTCTTTACACCTTTTCCTGCCGACTGTACCATCGGCCGTTGGGCGATAGTAATCGGCTTCACGGTAGCGGCTTCGGACAAAGGTGCTTCGGCGTTGAGGTCGCCACTGTACCACAGCGCGTACAGCCGCCCGCGAAGTAGCATCGCGCCGGTACCGCTGTACATTCACCGGCCGCCGTAACCTGCGTCGCCCGCGCTAATTAATTCGAACGCGTTGTGATTAATCAGAAATTCGCCGGCCGGGGGGCCACGGTGCGTGATTAATTAATTATAATTTCAGTGATTTCGATCCATTGGATGCGTTGCGTGGGCGGCGGCTATTAAAAATTTTGGCACACTCGAATTTATTTTCCTGCACTTTTTTTATTTAAAATGTCGGCAGTTTCCCATATTAAGGAAACTATCGACCGATTTAATGTACTCGGATCTTTTATTATCTTAAAGTATGGCCCTAATTTTAATACACAGTAGAAAGAACTCTTATATATGTTTGTTAATTTTTTTGTTTCCTTAATTTTGATTCACACATTCAGAAAATCGGTAAAATATTTTTTGTGCTTTGATATGAATTTAATGAAATTCTATATTTTTAATGCTTTCAAGATGTCATTGGGGTCGCCATGTTTATTTCTTGTGTGTACTTTACAGCGGACTATATTAAAAAGTATGTTTTACTACTGAAAGACCTAACAAACGTCATTACAGGTTCAGCTTAAACAATTACAATGAACCCAAACTTCATAAGTGGTCTATTTAGATACCGAACAATTCGTTTATCTAAAACTTAATTTTTTTTAGTGTCAGTAATTACTTTATTTTGATATAATATTTATTTTTTAATATTATTTTACTAGATCATATGTTATTTTAGATAGATCAAAACTTAAATTAAACCAATGTGCACGCTTGATACTATAATAGAATAGTAATAAAAACTGCTTATTAATTTATTATGAAGCACGTTATGGCATATGACAACCGCTTAAAATGTATACGTGAATTATTACTATAATATTCACGATAACTTGGTAATTTGCATAAGTGTAAATTTTGAACATTTTCAAATGATTTTTTAAATTTAACGAATAAATTCGTAACGTTCGTTAAATAACTTGATTTAAATAAAAGTTGAAGTTGAAATATAATAAATTTTATCATTTACTACTTGTTTAGAAAACAATATTGAAAAACTGTGCACATATTATATGCTAGCTGCATAGTTAACACACAGAATATAACCCATGGGCTTCATAAAAAAAATCATATTTTTTTTGAAAAAATCATGATTTAACCCAACATGTATATTATTTAAGAAATTTTAAACGAGAAAAATGTGCATCATTTTAATGTATTGAGAAAATAAAATGACAAAAAGTGGATTTCTGTCGCCGGACCTGCGGAGTTTCTTTCGCCTGTTTCTTCTCCATTAGAGAAACCTCATTACGAAATGTAGGTTTCCTATTTCGATGACAAAATGATTTGATCTGAATTATAGGAAATAAATGATTTCTATTCTCATTGTATGAATTATGTCAATATCCATTCGTGATTCTGAATGCAAAGAAGTTACGTCAAAACGATTACCTCAATGGATTGTACTAAGTGTCGTCTTCGTTGAGTATTTCACCTACATCACCCGAAGGGTTTATCCAAAATGTTTTCTCACAGTTATTCTCAATACGTATTAGGATCGGTCACTCGTCACACAAGTCATACACAGCCTCGCAGTCCGTCAAACAATGACAGCCGTTAATAATTACAACTCTACCTACTCTATCTACACATACCGTTAGAAATCAATTTAAAAAAACCCATTCAACATGGGCACATTATGCTGGACTTTTAGAATGCCACGAGAAAGAATGAACAGCGCTCTCTATATATTGTAGACCACTTAAAATCTATTACAAGGACTCTTACTGTTAACCACTCCTGCGCAGCTTTAGCGACTAAGCGAACGAAACGGGAAGTCCCCCCCCCCCCCCGATCCCCAGTGTTTTGTCAAAAAATCCATTGTCACAAGGGGTGGGGTCTTTAGGGTACTTTTGGACGAAAGAGACGACGCGATGCGACAGAAAAGGTTAAGCATACGGGGATTGAAAAAGGACGGATGTGTTTTTTGCAAATTTGATAAAGGTGTTCACTAATTAAAGCGGCGGTATAAGCATTTTTTTTTTTAATTCTTACAAACGGAATTGTTCACAGAATATCGACGAGCATATCTGTATAGCGCTGAAAACGAATGCTTGAAAATAACGTTACTGACAAAATTCATCTTTAGTAACTTTAGTTCTATCTACCATTTTAATATAAAGCATTCTTATATAGTATTCCACATTAAATATTTGCCTTTACAAATGTGCATTAATTTATTCAAAAGCTCCAAATATTTTAAAGCACACAGACAATGCCCGCAGTTTAAATCTGTCGTCGCAATTCGATCCCGAAATTCCAATGAGTTTACGAAAAAAACAACACTCACCATTTTCGTATAAGTCTTATTGGAGTTTACCAAAGTACATACATCTTCATAAAAGCGTCAAGAAATGAATATAAATGCGTAAAAGCGCGCCGAATAAGATGTGAGGAGGCAATTTGGATAGAAAATGAGACAGTTTGCTTTGAAAGTCACGTCCTGGAAGCGTCGGGCGCAAATATTCCTTTACATTTAAATAACTTTACCCTTGAAGTTCATTCGAAGTTAGTACTAGCAGCGACATCTCTTGCCATTCTCTTAGACTATATTTATATTGATTTTAAATTTAGTTTTAAGGAGTGTACAGTTTGTATTACATATTATAATCATTAATGTTGAAGCAGAAGTTATTTTAATAATTATGAGCTTTATAATAATAATTTGTTTATTTTTATTCTCTTTATAGCGCCATCTTTTGTTGAATAGCAAAACGAAAACTGTTTTACAACTTTTGTTGTATTACACGCAGTTTATCTGTGTGCGTGTGGAATGGCGCGCACAATTTTTTGAATGTTTAGGCTTGAACTCGGGAATTTTTAAAGAGGTTTCCTCGACGTCTGCTTTGGTTGACGATTCTAAAAATTTATAAAATGGAGAACTTACGTACAAAAACTAATGTTAGTTTTTATCAACATACATGAAAGTTTTATCGTTTTCACTTATAATTGCACTTCATCATTACAATAATTAAAATCACAAAATTTTTAACTTTTGACAGCCTGAAGATGTTATTAAAATTAAGTTTTATTTATTGTCTTCATTTATATTTATAAGTAATGTAATAGTTAAAATATTTTGAGAATTCTTGATTTATTTTGATAAGATTTATTATTACGAAATTATTTCATATGAAAATTTAGGATTATTTTTAATTATTGCTTTAAGATTTTTCAGTTTATCTCAATTCGTCATGTAAATGGCGAAAGACATCTACAAAATAATTGTACTAATGGATTTTATGTGTAAATTTGTGTCAAATGCTTTTGTAGTCTACAAATCAATAATACTTATCAATTTTATAATATTAATCATTTGGGCTGCGTCTTAGTTTTCATATTTTTTACAAGCAAGTTTAACTCTCGATATCACCCAAAATAATTTGAATAATTTCCTGTATAAGTTTTCGTGTCGTCTTCAACCTTTTATTGACTTATCAGTTTCGTGATCCTGAAGAAATTTGTAGAATTTAGAATATTTAGAGAATTTTATATGCATCATTATCATTATCGTCATTCGAACAGAGTCCAGTGCTGATCATGGGACAACTCTATACATTATTATAACAAACTCTATGTTCCGTCTAACCAAATAATTGCAGGATTTACGTTAACACTAACACGTTCTTTAATTTTCCACAAGAAACTTGATTTTTTTTGCAATCAATCTGAATTCTTAACCAATCATTAATCTGATGACTAAACAAATTTTGTGTTAAATCCTAAATCTGAAATTTTGCTAGGCTTCTGAGATTGGTTCAAAGTTCATCAGTAGTCTAATAAACGATAAAATGTATTCTTATTATGATTTTTATTGATTTTTAAATAAGAAACCCAAATCGTTTAATTCCAATGATTTTTATGCGTTGCGTCTCACAATAATTTTCTTTAATTTATAAAATACTAGCTGCTGCCCGTTGCTGTCTGCGTAGAATAGGCGAAAGGCTGCAGGCGTAAGATTCAGACATATATACATAAATATGTATATTAATTGTAGCCTATGTCTTATTCTGATGTAAAAGCTACATTATTGTAAAGTTTCGTTAAAATGCATTCAGTAATATTTGCGTGAAAGAGTAACAAACATCCATCCACACATACAAACCTTCGCATTTATAATATTAGTAGGGATCTCTTAACCTCAAGCTGAGGCCTACAATGAGCGGATTTTATGCCTGATGGCATTCTCTACCAATCTAATAATAGTCTCTCTCATCGTCCAATAGTCCAATATTTATTACAATTTTTCCGGTGTGGCTATTGCGTGGCCCTACCACGCAATAGCCTTTGCTGTTGCACTAATGGGCAGATCCGTCCCGGTAAATACCACGATCTCACAGAAGATCGTCGTGAAATGGAAGTGTTATGGTGAGCGAGGTAACCGGGGCCCACTTTATTAAAAGGTGGCAACGCATCTGCAACCCTACGGGAGTTGCAGATGTCCGTGGGCGGCGGTTATCAATTAACATCAGGTGAACCGAAAAAGTGTTCAATAACTTATAATACTAACTTACCGCGTTCAAACGCAACGAAATTCTAATGTAGGAAAGAAAAACATTTGTACGGTCAATAGAAAGAAATGATGATTTCATACGTTTAAGCGAAAACTAAACACTACTTGACGGATGTTATTGTGTTTTAATTTGCGTATCGTTTTGTCTGTCCCGTAACCCGTAGTGGAATCGTAAGTTGTTAGAAATGTTCAGAAAAACAAAATGAAACGTATAAAAAAAATCTGTAAAACACCGCCATAAAAAGAGCTTACTTCTAAATAAGTGCTTTCGTAATAACTTTGATAAGATTAATCGCGCTGACTTACAACTTATACAAAATACAACATAATTATACAAAATACAGATTACATACGAAATCACTAAGAAATATCTTCTAGTGTGCGTTGTTCACAAACCACTTCATTAAAAACTTTCCATAGCTCAACTACAACAACATAAAAATAATAATATCAAATTTTA